TACCAAAAATAGTGGCCTAATCATACAATTTTAAATGATTTTTTTGTATTAATAGTCTATCAAATATCTATTAAATAGATATTGGAAAAAAAAAGAATTTAGGCGAAATGCTTTGTTTACCATATCTATTAAAATTGCATCGTCTTTGCCAGCGGTTAAAAGTTTACCATGGGTTAGATATGTTGAAGCATCATGTAAAGTATTTGAGTCTTTATATAAAGGAATATTAACTGAGTTTAAATCACTCAAATATTTTAAAATCTACAAAAAGTTCAAAAGACAACTCTATAAAAGCATTGTCTTTTTTAAAGTTAATTTTAAATTGGATTTTGACATGTTTTGCAGAATTAACTTTTTCTGTCAAAGAATCATCAGAGAGTTTGTTTCATTTTTAGGACTAATAAAATTTTTATTAAAGTGTAAAGGATAAGAAAAACTAAATAAAAAAAGTATATATTTTCTAGCTGAAAATATATAACACCATTAACTTTAGTAATAGAGTTTTACCTTAAAGCATCATAATCTTTACTATCGCCTGTCTTGATAAAACAATTCATTTCAGAATTTTAAAGACTGACTCTATGGCTGCACTGGACACTTGTTATTGAAATATTTTAAATCTTCAGTTAAATGGTTTTACATTAGCAAATATTTTGCAAATACCTAGCGTTAATTGAATTTGAAACTAAAAAATTTATCTTTGTTTCAAAATTTTATTTTTCTAGCAAAGCCCTACGACGAAAATTACGTGATAAGTACGTGTATCAAGTGGCATATCAGAATTTTGTAAATTTTGAACCATTTGGAGCAACTGATGCAATTGTTCTAAACTTTCTACAAAATTGATTGGTTAATTCTCCTATCATATTTGAAACATTTTTGGATTTTTTTGCGAAAAGTTTGTAGCAACTGATGCAATTGTTATATTAATAAATAGTGATTATTAGTATAAACTGTTTTTTAACCAATCATTTATGATTTAGCGAACAATTACATCGCATGCTACAAATTAATAAGAAAAATTTGTAAAAATATAAAAATATGATTGGTTAAAGCCTGAAATATTTCTTCTTTAACCAATCACATTTGTATTTGGTGAAGAACAATTGCATCAGTTGCTCCAAAACGAAGGAAATTTTGTCTAAAAACGGATAAGTAATTATGGAGATAATAAAATCGAGTTAAGATGTAAAAAAATTTTTTGAGTTTAAAATAAATTCTACATCATTTGAGAATATCAGATTTCTACTTTAACTTTTTATTATAAAAAAAAGTGAAAAAGAGATACAGTTAAATTTAACGGTGCAACACCCTAGATCCGCCTCTGCACTATGTAACATATATATATATATATATATATATATATATATATATATATATATATATATATATATATATATATATATATAATATATATATATATATATATATATATATATGTATAGTATACACACACATATATATATATATATCCGGTAGCATACATAAATATATATATATATATATATATATATATATATATATATATATATATATATATATATATATATATATATATATATATATATATATAAGTAGCATACATATATATATATATATATATATATATATATATATATATATATATATATATATATATATATATATATATATATATATATATATTTGCGCATAAATCCGGACATAAGCATTCATTCTTTTTTTATTTTTTTATGTCTACATTTAGATACCAAGTTATTCCTCTTATTTAATAAGTTATCATTGGTGTAAGATATTATGACTTTTCATATAGACATAGCTTGCATCGTTTTATCGTGATATTGTAAGATTCACAACGTTTTACAGTTTTCCATTCAATTGTTGCGTTTATTCCGCTTTCTTTTAACCTCAATACTTTCTAAGACAAAACCAATAAAAAACCTTCTACAGGTACTGCTATCGATGTAAAAGTTTACGCACTTAAAAAAATTCGGATTTTATGTGCTTCTTTTAAAGTGCAATTTACAATAATATCACAAAGACTCGAGTTAAGTAAACTAAGTTAGACTAAATAAATAATAAATTTCCCACAATTTGCTACTGAACATCAACCGGCATACGTTGAGGTATCGATTTTAAACCATTTTTAAACAAAAATTTCGCTTGGGCTAAAGTCATCCCGTAGGGCCAAAGCCACCCAATCTTACGGTACTGTAGTTGTTTCAAAATCCAAAGTCAAAATCTTGTTGTAAAAGTTGTAACCTAGTGAAGTTGTAACACTGCGTTTTCATTTTTATCAAATTTTAAAATAAATTATTATTATTTTTTGTAAAATTGAGGTTATTAGCAAAACAAGTTTTTATTTATGTTTTTATCACACTTCGATGCAGTGACTTTAAAAATTAACCAATCAAACTCCAGTACCGTGACTTTAAGAGAAAAAATAAAGCGACGGGTTTCGTTGCGCTAGACACAACGATAATAAAATAGCGGATATGATTTAATAATTTGACATTTACAATGTCAAAAAAGTGAAAATTGTAAAAATGAAGTTTGTTTTTAATACCTTTGAACCAGTGCGGATTACGACTTCTTGGGGACCGGGACTATTTTTGTTTTTGGAGGCCTTTATATGGGCCAGAGCCTAAAAATGACTTGAAAAAGGTCCTCTAAAACTTTTGAGGGGCGCCTAAATTTGCGGGGCCCGGGGCTATAGCCCCCTGGCCCCCCGTCCGTCTCTTGATCCGGCACTGCTTTGAACCAATCTAAAACGTTTTACGTGCTTTTTCATTGATTGAGAATATTTTTCAGCTCAGCAATAACGTTAGATAAAATAAATTTACTGACTCCAATTTCATTTTACGCTGGCGGACAATAGGTTTGTTTAAAAAAAATTATTAAATTAATATAGCAGTTACTCGATGTGGTTACAGACACCTTTGTAAAATACGCGATTTTCAAAAACTTTAAAAAAACGAAAAGTTTAACTTTTTTAAGTTAAACTATTCGTTTAACTTAAATAAGTTTATTAAATTACCTAGCAAGTTTAACTTTTCGTTTAAGAAAATCGCGTATTTTTAAAAGTTAAACTTAAAAATAAGTTTAACTTTATAGATTTATAGATTTGCCACTATTTAAAAAAATCGCGTTTTTTACAAGTGTCTGTAACTACATCGAGAAAATGCTTTATTAATTTAAAAGATCGTAAAGAAAATACGTAAGAAAAGATCACAAAGAACCTGGACAAATATTTTACCAGGTTCCAAAAGAAAATTTGAATTTTTCGAATAAATTAGCTCCTCTCAAATTATATTGCGCTAGTACAAATTTTAGTAAATTTGAAAATTTTATATATTATATGTTGCGCGAGATGTTAAAAAACGCTCATATTTGTCAACAAGAAAAAAGTTTTATCTTGCCATACTTTCTAATATTCGTGTTTGTAACCTATACTAAACATTAGAAAAAAGTGGCATGTCAAAAAGTTACATATTATAGAAATATTTTGACTTTTATAATTGTTTTCTGCTGTTATATATGAGTAATTCTGTTATAAATCAAATTTAAATAGTTTATTCGAAACATTACACTCATTGCAAATCGATAGTATTATTCTAATTCTATATTTTAATGAATAGTATTATTCACAATTACACTCATTGCAAATCGATAGTATTATTCTAATTCTATATTTTAATGAAAATAGCAACATAATTTATTATAAACCAAGCTAGCGAAAAGTATTCTTAGTAAGAGACTTTTCAAAATAATGTTTGAGTCAAGTCTGTAAACGAAAACATTTCACTCAAAGTTATTTTTCTTTCTCGGATAATATATATATATATATATATATATATATATATATATATATATATATATATATATATATATATATATATATATATATATATATATATATATATATATATATATATATATATATATATATATATATATATATATATATATATATATATATATATATATATATATATATATATATATATATATATATATATATATATATATATATATATATATATATATATATATATATATATATATATATAATTTGAAATATGTTAATAACCTATATAAATAAAGTGGTTATCAAAAATAATAAGTGCTGCCTATGAATTTTTTATTTTTATTGTTACTATGAAGTAATTTTAATAAAGATAAAAAAATCAAAATGCTCTCTCAAAATCAAAATTTATTTATTATTAGGCACTCTTATTTTTCTAAGAGTTTTTGTATTTTATTTGCAAATACAAAACAAACTTATAGTTATTAAGTTATAGTTATTATTATTATATAACTTATAGTTAAAATAAATGAATAAAATAAACAAACAAGCTGTGATACACATTACAGTGTATAGATTCTAACAACAGTAGATGTCAGACTGAAACAGCTTTTCACAGTTTTGCATATAATTGTCAAAGGATTTTAAATATGTTTACATTTTTCGCATCCTCAACATCTTGTCGTAAGCAGTTCCATTTGTCCTTTATTCTATTAATAAAAAAGTTTTGTTGACCATTTGTTTTTTTGCTTTGTTGTCTACGTATTTTTTCATTGTGCCCTCTTTTAATTGAATTTTCTATAAATATAGGAGGATTGTTTCAATTAATTACATAAAAATTATTCTTAAACCTATATAGTTGCACTATATCACCCCTCAATCTTCTATTTTTTAATGTCAAAAGATTAATTTTATTTAATCTATTTTTGTATGTTAAATCTTTTAAACTGTGACTCTTTTTTTTTTCTGTTTTTTTATTTAATTTACCTCCTCAAGGCCGAGAAGACCACTACAGATGAGGAGGCTACTTATTTGTGGTTATAACCCTCTCTCAACTCTATAACTTGGGAACACGAACCTTGATGAACAAGGCTGCTGCGCCGAGAAACGAGTTGAGCGCATTTGTCTTTTATATTTTAAATATCATTAATGTATAAAATGAATAATAATGGTCCAAGTACTGATCCCTGAGGAATACACCTTGTAACATCTATAGTTATTGAAATATATTTTCTCTAAGTACTACTCTTTGCAAACGATTTTTTAGAAAAGCTTTGCACCAGTTCAATAAATCACCAATAGTACCATACCCAGCTAACTTAATACACAATATTTCATGCAGTACAGTATCGAATGCCTCAGCAAAATCTAGAAATATAATGTCAACTGGAATATTATTGTCAAATGTTTTACTGACTATCTTTATAAAAATATATTTCTTGTATAAAATGAATTTCTTGCTGTTTACTAAATTTGATGCATGCTTCAATGATTTGACCATATTTTCACAGTAATATAAACTACTATCTGCAGTACCATAAATGCAGCCACATAACATGCTTTCAATACTACATTCTATCACACATTATATTGTTTCAATATCATCATTTGCATTTAAATTTTCATTAATAATTTCATATGACTTTAAATTTTTGATAAATACAAACATAAATAGAAACAAAAAAACAAATATAATAAATAAACATAAAAACAAACAAATAGAAACATCGTCACCCTTATTTTGTTGACGACCTTTTCTATAAAGCGAATAACATTCTATGTTAGTTGATGAGGCATCTGCCCACCATATCTCACATACCATCATGTTTTGCGGTTTTAGTTTTAATTTCTAGTAGTAAGTCTTATTTGTTTTTTTAGCAATGTTGGGTTGGTGTACCAACATGACAGATGGAGTTTTTCAACACTGTTTTTTATTTTTTTTAGTTTTTTCTTCAACATTTTTTAGTTTTTTCTTCAACGTTTTATAGTTTTTTCAACATTTCAATTTTTTTAGTACCATAACAAAAGGGCTTAATCAAGTTATCTACTTTTGTTAAATCTTAATTTTGTGCATTTCTTTGAATAATAAGTTCTTTTGTTAACTTTCTTTCAGCTTCATTTTGATCTGGTGCAATAAAAACATTTTTAAAAGTATCGCTGTTTCTCAATCAGGTTCTTGCTGCATGTAAAACTTGTATTTGTGCATCTTTATTATTAAATTAAATTGTGTTTTCAATTCCTTGTTTTGATTTCAATCTGTAGATTTTTTCAATAACACTGTTGTTAACATTTAGTTCATTCATAAAACCATCAACTTGCCTCATATCATGATTTGCATTGTTCAATATTATTCTCCTTAGATACAGGAAGACTAAAAACAACTACATTTTTGTCCCTTTTTTCCTTATCTTTATTAATAGCAACAATGGCATTAACTACTTCTAATTCTTTGCTTGATTTACTTTTATCATTTTTAACAATAGCTGCCCAGTTTAATGGAGCATCTTTCTGAGTGCCACTACTTTTGAGTACATTAATATGGTTTTTTAATGTAGAATTTCAACCTCTAATAAATGAATTATTTCTCTCAATAACTAAACTGTGTCATTTAATGCTAATAAGTCAGGTTCACTTGCTTTTTTGTTGTGCACCCGAAGACCTTATATTTATCTATTTAAAATATAAATTAACTCAAATGGATTTAAATATTTAGCGTTACAAAAATATGACAGATTTTTTTTTAATTATTTTTTTTTATCCAATATGTTGAGATTGCGGGTCAAACTATTTTTTTGCTATTATAAATCTTGTTTTGTTTTTTTTTAATTTTTTTGTTGTTGCACTAAGTCTTCTTTCAATTTATAGTTTATGTGTTATGTGGATTATGTAGACTTTTATTTATGTATATTATTATTGTATAGATTTTATTGTTAGTAAAAATACTTTAATAAAAGAATGGAAAAAAAAGGATTATTGAGTTATGTATAATATAATAAGTATTAATATTGTTATTATAGTTTTTATCTATTGTTATATATTATTGTCATTAATATCAGGTGTTTACTTCAGGTTTGGTTATTATTATTTATATATGAGTATGAGTTGTGACAACTCTTTTCAGAAATAAAGGCATTGATATTTCTTAAGAAATATATAATGTATATATACAAAGTAACAACTTATATTTGTGTACCTTATATACCTTAATTAAATACAATACAAAGTACATTAACAATAATATTATATATATATATATATATATATATATATATATATATATATATATATATATATATATATATATATATATATATATATATATATATATATATATATATGTATATATATATATATAATATTATTGTTAATGTACTTTGTATTGTATTTAATTAAGGTAAATAAGGTACACAAATATAAGTTGTTACTTTGTTGAACAAGTTGTACAACAAATATATGAAGTTGTTACTTTGCACCATTCTTAGAGACGATATCAGGGATGTTCTGACGGAGGATATAGGGGTGTCCCTCCTTCCTTTAATCTGTTATTTGAGCATTTGATTTGGCACATTTGTACATTTAGCATTTGAATTGGCAAGATTTTAACTGGCAATTATCAAATGTTGAAGACCTTTTACCTTTTTTTTTATCATATGGTCGTTAAACAGTAAGCAAAAAACACATTTGACACTCCCTATGGAGACCTCTTTAGGATGGCCCTGGATGATGAATAAAATATAAAGGGTTCTGTACTGCCAACTAGTAAGTTACCAGGGCCCCGGCCCTGGCTAAATTATAAGATTTAGCCAGGGCCGGGATAGCCGGGGCTAGAAAAAAAATTATAATACTTAATATACTATAATTTTATGCTTATATTTACTATATATTAAATACTTGCATATATTAGTATATTTTTAAACTCTAATTTACTTCCAACAAGATTTAAAGCAACCACTATTAGATAATGAGTTGCTTAAAAATAGAGAATCAGTTAAAATACTAGGAAATGTATAACTAAAGACATCAAAAGTTATAAGTTGTATAAAAAAGGAAAATATGAATTTGGGTAAGAGTTAAAAGATTTTTTTGAAGTTCAAGGAAAAAAACTGGATTAATTATGCTGTAAAAAGATTTTATAGCATGAAGGGATAAATACAGTAAAAGGATGCGCCTTGTTAAATAAATAGCCAAGCGAGAATAAGTTTTAGTATATCAGTTTTAACTCAAGCCTCATTCTACTCCACATTTTTCAACATTAATAACTTTTTTTAGCTTTTTTATAAGAACATCTCCTTAAGAACAAATGTCCTTTTTATTATTGCAATAAGCTAATGTCTAAACAAAGTCCTGTCTGATGTAAAGGCTGTTACAGAAGAGAGATCATATAAAATTGGCTGTTCTAAGCAATTAAAAAGTGAAGATTTTTTGTCAAGACAAAGTTGTACAAAGTTGAGTCATCAGCAAATAGAGTCCTTTTAGATTTCATTAAGATATTGTTATTGTAGATAAGAAATAATACAGAAGCAAATATAGAACCTTGTGCTACCCTTAAAGTTACTTGAAATAAAGAAGAGGGTAGGCTTTCAAGAATTAGTTTACTACTGCAGTTAAAAAGAAATAATTTAATAACCTTATAGAAACTTAGAAGAAACTAGAGATAAGATGCAAGATTTAGTAAACTGAGAATAACAGAGATTTACATCAGACAGGACTTTGTTTAGACATTAGCTTATTGCAATAATAAAAAGGACATTTGTTCTTAAGGAGATGTTCTTATAAAAAAGCTAAAAAAAGTTATTAATGTTGAAAAATGTGGAGTAGAATGAGGCTTGAGTTAAAACTGAAGAGAAGTAATAAAAGTTTCCAAACTTTTATTCCAGAAGCAATAAAAGCGTCCAAGATGCACTTTTTGCACACATATTATAGATATAAACATATCTGTTTGTTATTTGTTTAGATGCTGGCATACAATATCCTTTCATTTTTATACAAACTTTAGTATTTATATGGTGTAATATTTGCCGAAAGAGAAAATGATCAGATGGATGTGTGGTGTGACTCAAGCAAGCCAAAAAAGAAGGCATAATCTTAGAAAGATTAGAAAAAGCGTTGTATCAATCAACGTTTGTTTAAAAAAAGTTAAAGTAATTTAGGTATCAACATGTAGAGAGGTAGCATCTTCAGTATAAAATGGTTGTGGTAGAAGAAGAAAATTTGAAAAGAGTGGCTTACATATTGTATAAATAAGCTTTAGTTAGGAATAAAAATGTTCTAGATTGTTTATATTACTGAAACAACTTAAAAGAGGAAGGCTAAAGCTATGATGATGATGATGATGATCATGATCATGATGATCATGATGATGATCATGATAATAATGATGATCATCATCATTGTATAATCAACATAATTGTCATCATCATCAAGCTTTCCCCTTTTCTTCTGTTAATGATGATCATGATCATGATGATGGTGATGATAATTACGATGATATTGATCATAATGATGATATTGATCATCATTATGATATTGATCATAATGATGTTTTATATGCATATATTTACAAATAAAACATGAATTTTAAATTTAAAAAATATACTTTACAATCTATAAGTGTTTATGCAGCTCCAGTCACAAACCCGGGCCTGGCTTTATTTTAACAAACCCAGCCCTGGTCCTTTACAATTGTAAACACAGAGACAGATCTTATTATGCCTTTTATCAAAACTGAAAGATCTGAGCTTTATCAAAACTGAAAGCACTGAGATCAAGCTTTACCTGAAGCTATAGACAAAGTGCTCTTTGTCTATAGCTTCGTTAACACCGTTAAAAAGCTAATATTCTAACTCTTTAATGCATAAACAATATTGGTAGAGTAATCAAAGATTACTATAAAAACGAATTCATTATTTTGATGAAATTAAAAGATTATAGAAAACAAGAAGACCAACCTAGAACAGTTAAATTTAAATCAGAACTGAATTTGACAATAAATTTTTATAAGAACTCAGTTGTGAAGGACATCGTCTCTAAGAATAAGGGGATAACTAAAGTTAAACAAGATGCTATTGATGTTGATATTAAATTATAGTGTGCAAAAAAGTATTTACATATTCTGGGATGGAAAATGTAGTCACAGAAAGGAGAAAAAAGGAATCCAAAATCTGACACAAAAAAAATGCGACCATGTAAACATACTTTTGGAATGATAAATCTTGAATCAGGCAGTGACTCTTGTTAGGATGAGAATATTGAAGAAGTTAGCACTAGAGCACAAAATAGGAAACAAAGAATAGTTAAATGTAGCATTGATATCTTTGCTCCTCATGACATCTTGAAAAACCCTGAAACATCTCATTAACCCAACTTAGTGTCATTGTGTACTCCCTTGTAGTAGAATGCAGGGGCGATCCTTACTATGCCATATCTAAATACAAGGACAGCCCATTTGTATAGAACTGCAATTGTACCTGAAATAAGTTTGAAGATCAAAGAAAAATGTTTAAAAATGTTTAAACAATTTTAAAAATGTATTTTACAAAATAGAGTGCTCAATGTTCT